CAGTGATTCACTTAACAACTGTGGCAAAAAAGGACTTAGAAGTTTTAAAAGATGCTCTTAGAATTAATAGAACAAGTGTTTTGTCACCATACCTCGATACTTTTACTTGCTACATTCTTCACTACCGCAGGAAACAATTCAGATGCATTTTTTCCTACAGCAATCATCTTCAAAGAAAAAGAAAAAAATTCCTTTAATATAACATGCTACTTTAAAATACAGTGAATAATTTAATGCATATACATTAATAGTACATTTCTATTTTCAACTAAGTTCCTTCAACTCTTAAGTAAGTTTCTTCTTTGATAATATATCTTAAAAGGAAATTCTAAATTACATAATTGTTCAAAGAAATTTCAATTAATTTAAAAGAGGTACATAGGTAAGCTACTTCAATTTGTTAAAGGGACAGTTCAAAATAATCTAGAATACCATTTTTGCTGGAATACCAATGAATTATTCTGATTTAAAAGGTGGTAGAATTGAAGCTAAACTATTTTCAGACTCCACAAATATCCCAGTAATATTTACAGCATAATAAAATGGCAATACTTAATATTACTTTTTAAAGTATGTTGTGTTATTTAAATGGCAATAACTGCAGCATTCTACAAAAGAATATCTTTGGAATCTTTTTAAAATATATTTGGTCTCATAATGTTGCCAGAATCACTTCTTGTGAGCTAAAGTGGACAAATAAAAATCATGATCAATATGTCAACAAAAATTGAATATATGTTTTTTTTAAATCCTTAGTCTCACTTGACTGTTCTTTATATTAAAAAAAGAGTTGGGTGCTGAATAACCATAAATTGAATATAAAAGTGAGTGATCATTAAACTTGTTCATAGAGAGAATGGAATAAAGATTGACTCAGAACAAATACATGAAATTTTAAAGAACAAAGAGAATGCATGAATTTGTTGACAGACATGGTGGAAATAAGGATGGTTTTCAAACATAAAAAGGTGACTACGGAATATTGGCATTAATTACATTTTAGGTATGTCCTTTTTATTTTATCCCATGACTTATTTTCTTCAGCTAATTGTTTCTTTTCTGTGTTTTGCATAATGTTGTCTAATCAACATACACCTACTTATAGGAAAAGGTAAAGGTTCCCCTCGCGCATATGTTCTAGTCGTTCCAGATTCTAGGGGGCGGTGCTCATCTCCATTTCAAAGTCAAAGAGACAGCGCTGTGTGAAGATGTCTCCGTGGTTATGTGGCCAGCATGACTAAATGACGAAGGCGCATGGAAAGCTGTTACCTTTCTAGCAAAGGTGGTTCCTATTTTTCTACTTGCATTTTTACATGCTTTCGAACTGCTAGGTTGGCAGAAGCTGGGACAAGTAATGGGAGCTTACTCTATTATGTGGCACTAGGGATTTGAACCGCTGAACTGCCGACCTTTCTGATCGACAAGCTCAGTGTCTTAGCCACTGAGCCACCGTGTCCCTTAAGTATACTTAAGTATACCTACTTAAGTATACTATAATTTTAAAAACCATTTTTAATCCATCTTAGCACTCAGATTTTGCAAACTACTTGTAAGTCTGTTTATTTGTTTCTGGCCTCTGATCATGCATTTTTATTCAAAATATAAATCAGCTTTTCCAAACGTTGGCACAAACAACATGTAGACTTGAACTTCAGATTGTAAACCACAGGGAGTCTGAATGGAAAAATAAGAATGCAAAAAAATACCTGCCATAATTTCCTAACCAGCATCTAGAGAAGGATGCCAAGACTGAGGGAATGTGACCTACGAATGCTTTTGATTCTTCAGATCATATTTAACAAAATATACAACAGTCCAGTTTGGAACCAAATATGGACTCCTGTGAACAGAAAAGCTCCTTTCATTTAGATTCATTTAGAATCACATTGACTGAACTTATTTTCAATTCTCCTGAAAATCTGTTAGAAAGTTCTTCAAAACAATAAAGTAGGGAAAGGAAAAATGATAAAAAAATACCAGACTGAACTGATGCTGTAAGATTGGTATGCTCTTGGGTTTCATCAATTAAACAACAATATCTGTTCTCTATGGCAACCCCTGCACTCTACAATGAAGATGGGACATCTAAAATAACACCCCTCCCAAATTGCAACAGAACCCACCCTGCTGGTATTTCAAATGGCTTTGAAGACCTGGCTCTTCATTCAGTGGTTGGGCCAGGATGTGTGAAATCCCCTTTACATCATATGGGTTGTTTTCTTTGTTCCCCTTTGTTTTTGCCACCTTGCTCTTCATTTTTGGTCTCTCGTTTTTGTTTTTTGATGTTTTGAACCATTTGCAAATCACCCAGAGTTAAGGGACATGTACATTTATTAAATTACTTCTATGGATGTTCAAAATGAAAAAAAAGATGCAAACTGCATTATACACATAATAAAAGCTGAACATACTCCAACAATCCTTTTCATAGCCTCCAATTTAGCAGAATCTTTGTTGCTTTCCAACATCTGCTTAAGATCTTCATTTCTATAAAAGAGAAAATGAATATATAAGGTCACCTGATTGTGAATTTATTAATCATTAATTATTAATCCCGAAGAGCCAGACACAGCCTTAGGGGCGAACTGTCACAGCAGTGCAACAAAGCAACCATGAAGTGGCCACACTCACGAGCAGCTTATTGACAATCCCCCCTCTCCAGCCAGGCAGAACGCTACTCACTGACCTAGTGGTGTCCCGAAGGCACCAAGCTGCAGGAGCCAGAGGGAACAGGGGCTTGCGCAGCTTGGTGCCTTTGGAATACTGCTGGGTTGGTGAGTTGCACTCTGCCCGGCTGGAGAAGGGGATTGTGCAAGCACCTGTCGTCCCCCCCACTTGCCTCCTAGTCTTACCATGACCTGGCCTACCTCTCCCTGCAGGGCCAGAGCACTGCCACTGCCACTGCCATCCCAGCACTGAGGATGGCTTCTTCTGTGGCTTCCAAACCCCGGAAGTCTGCTGCTGAGTCTTCCAGCAGTGGCCACTCTAGGAGTACACTCTATGGTTGTGGGCTGGTTGCCAGAAGACTCTCTGCCCTGGCTGCCGGAAGACTTGGCAGCAGATTTCTGGGATTTGGAAGCCACAGAAGAAGGCACCTTCGGGATACCGCTGGATCAGTGAGTGGTGGTCTGCCTGGCTGGCTGGAGAGGTGGGGTTGCTGGGTGGCTGCTTGTGAGCATGGTCACCTAATGGCTGCTGTGTTGAGCTGCTGTGACACCATAATACAGACGTTCGCCTAAGGCTGTGCCCGGCTCTTCAGGAGCCCACTCATAAGAGAGCAGCCGGCTGGCAACCCCAAAACAATACCCCCCCGATAATAGGGCCCAGGCCATATTTTGGGGATCAAATAAAATAAGACCCTGTCTTATTTTTGGGAAAACATGGTATATTTATATGTATGTATGTATGCATGCATGCATGTACCACACACCCACACACCCACACACACATATATGAATTTTGAAGGATGAACATTATAGCTTAAGGGAAAATCTTATGTTTAGCTATCTTATCAGACTAATAAAAATTAAACATACAATACAATGAATAATATTATTTTGCATTTTTTTTACAAAATTTGGCAATATAAATTCAATACCAAAAACAAATAGTTATATAATCCATAGATCTGAGAAACCTAATCCCAGATTAATATATTTCCAATAATATTAGGCTTTACTTTTGCAGTACTTCAAAAGAAAATAGCAGAGATAATTATCTCACTGTAGTAATTCTTTCCAACACGGATGAGTATTTGGGTAACTCTTGTTACAAATAATATTGTAAAGAAAGGCTTCTTTTTTTACTAATACAAAGAAACTAAAAATAAACCCCAAGAGCAAGTAAAGGAATGCTCAGATTCATTAGTACTAGTCACACATTAACTGAACATCAGAAAAAAATTGGAATCAAGCCACCCTTCTCTTGGGGGAAAAAGGCACTTTCCATTGTTGGAATGGCATCTATTTTGGCAGCATCTCCAAAATTACTCTGGACAATAATCCTACAATATATTTGGTGTAATGCTTCAATAGACATTTTATACATGTACATCCAGTACATGTTAGATTCAAGATAACCAACATAAGAAACTTATTTAAAATCAGAATAACAAACAAAGTTAAGTAACTTTACAAAATAATCAATACTATCATTAGTAGGGAAAAAACACATTTTGCATTTTAATGTCATAATTTGTAATCTTATACATGAACTGGAATTGAGTTGTGCTCATATTGGATTTTTCAAGAATTTGCTACAGAAACACAGAAAACAATCCTTACTTAACAAATTATTGGTCCATATTGCTTCATATTATACACATCAATTGGATGTATTTTCTAGGGATTCAGTCCTATTTGGATACATGTAAAATTAAACCTAGGGCATTTTGAATATGTATGTGAACTTCCATTAAAGTAATCTGAATAAAACATGTCTATTAGAAAACACAAGCATTAGGAGAAACCCACATGAAAAAAAAAGCCCAGATTGCATTTATTATTTTTATAAATGACTCAAGACAGTGTACCTACACAATATTTTTCCTCCCCCTATTTTCCACACAACAACCTTGTGAAATCAGTTGGGCTGAGAGAATGACTGGCCCAAAGTCTTGTCTAAAGCAAGACTAGAACTCAGTCTCCTGGTTTCTTGCCTAGTGCTTTAACCATTAGACCAGTGGTTATTAACTTGGTAGTCCATGGACATCTGGGGGGCTGCAATGTTGTCACAGTGGGTCAGTGAAGGCTTGAAGAAACGTTATGATTTAAATCTTAAGTAACATCTTGGGGGTCTGTGGCCCCAAAAGGTATTTAAGGGGGTCCATGGTGAAGGAAAGATTGAGAGCCACTGCACAAGACCAAACTTTTCCTGCATTTTTAATCACAAATAGCTGTAGAAAGAATACTGAATTAATTTAACTTTGAGAAGTAAGAAACTGAACAAAATCAAACTGGACAGGTTGGTTCATCTGAAATGAACATGGTCACACTACATTCTCTTCCCACACTCCACTCATCAGTGACAGTATGTCAACTTTTAGACTGGCTAAAACAACTTCTATTTAAAAATGAGAGTGAAAAAAACCACACTGAAAAAAACAGAGCATGTTAAAAACAAAGATTTTACACTTTCCTGTTTTGGCAAATGATTCCCATCACAAACTGGAAAAAAATCCATTTTAAAGAAAGTTTATAAGTTACAAAAAATAGCTTCTTTTTAGGTTTCTGGATATTTAGGGTGATGCAGCATTCTAAAGGACTACCTCAAAGTACTTCATATTTACTATTACATTTAGAGTAGCAAATACTACAATTTGTCAGAAGGTTGATTTCCTTTAAATCTGCATTTAAACTTGATTTGTAATTTCTGACATCCATAAAATACAGGACATACAAATAAGAAAATTTCCTCAATAATATAGAACATAAAAAGTAGTTTTCTATTGTTTTAACTTTAAAAATACTGTTTTGCATAGAATTCAGAACAGTGGTGCACACTTAAGAGCATTTGTATACAGTAGCTAATACAAAACTAAGCCTCACAGGAAGATGTTTATTAAATTAATAGCTTTTTTGAATGTGTACAAGTGGAAGAGTTTAAGACTGATATAAGCTACAGTGATCTCTTTGGAGAAAAGGAAGCTGCTTTGATCTCTTTGGAGAAAAGGATAGCGCTCCCGCTATGTCTAGCTAGAAAATTAAGTATTATCTAAGGGCTAAATCCTTCTAAGCTAACAGTCTTTGATATGTAGTTTTCACAAATTGTTCCTTTGTATATTGGAATTATATGGAAAAGGTTATTTGGGAAACAAAAACTTATTTCCATATATTCAAGACTTATGGCATGGGACCAAAGTGGTTAGAGAGGCAAGAAAAAATATTCTTTCTATAAATAGTGAAACAGGAAGCCCAAATCATCTCTGCAATCTACTGTGCTAAAACCAAGAGCACAGCTGACTGTTGGTCTTAGTCAGCCAGATGTTTAGACTGGATTTTATATTTCTCTTTACCAAGTCTTTCCCAATGTCTATACCAGTGGTATCAAACTCAAGGCCAAACAGGCTGGGTCTTTAGATCTGGCCTGCGGGGCTGCCTTAGAAACAGCATAGGACCGGCCCTCCTGAGCTCTGTTTTCACTGGCAGATGGCTGCAAGACATTGAGCTTGCCACACCCATCCTGACCAAGCCCATCCTGGCCTTGCCCACTCGGCCCCCAAGGTCAAACATAATGATGTGCCCCTTAATGAAATCAAGTTTGACATTCCTGATCTAGACCATCGTTTAACCATTGAAGTACAGTATCGTATTTTTAAAAAATCAGATACTGGACTGGTTTACGTCCTCAGCTTACAGCTGGTCATAGTGATCTACAATATGATGTGGAACCCCAGAGTCACATTGAAGCAAGGACATTATGCCCCATAGAGAGAATCCCGGCAATACATCTGGTAATTTGCAATATTTACAGATATTTAGGCCCCTAAGAAGCCAGATTCTTATGTGATTATATTTACATTGCTATGTGATGCATTATGTATGTATGGGAACATTCTTGCTTAAGTTTCAATTTTTTAAAAAACTTTTATTATGTATATATACTGTTAGTTTTATCATTGCTGTGTATTCTCCAATTTTAAGTTTTCAATTAGGTATTGTTGGAATGGGGTATTACTTCCAATGTGAACAAAGTTTATTATTATTATTGCGTATATCCCATTAAATGCTATGTATATTTATTTTGGATTTTCTAAAATTTTTTATTGTTTTAAAATGTTTTAATTATAATATATATTTTAATTATAAGCTGCACAGAGTCATTGCCTGAGGTGGGCAGTTACAGAAACTGAATAAATATGATATTTCTCGTTTTTTTTCCTGAGACTATAACTAGTAAGAAAAGTTATTGTTTCATTTCAAATTTAAATTTATCATTTATTATATACAGAATAATGTAATAAATATTATTTTAAAAATTACAAATAATACAAATGTAATAACCCTTGGATAGCCCCATCGATCCTTGAAGGTTGATACTGACCACTTTGACTGGAGATTACCACCTTGACCGGTGATCACCTATAATAATTACTAGGAATCCCTTGGAAGGAGATGTCTGCCTATAAGGAGGTTGTTCAGTTTGTAACAGGAAAAGAAAAAATTATGCCACAACCTTTCAGCATAACGTTTTTCATAGCACAAATTGTCTGCCTAGTCTGCAATAAACTGAGCTCACTAAGAGATAGTATTTTTATCTTTTTTTCCCTTTTAAGAACAACTTAAATACTTACCTCATACCTGTCACCGTTCCTCCATAAATGTGCTGCTGTAAGATAAAACAACTATTTCTCTCCTCTTCCTCCCACCCCATGTAATTATTTCCTCACAGCATATACAAAAGACGGGGTTTGCAAAGGTGGAGCAATAAATGCAGCATTCATGTCCAAATGCTTTGCAAGAATGAGGTGGTTTTTTTAGAGCCCAGCA